CCCCAGCCTGCTATTCCCCCCGGTGCCGAGCCCTCCCTCCACCACCATCCAGCAAATATTAATAACAACCCTGCAGCCGCCTGTGCTTTTATTCCCTGGCTTTGCTGGCCCCGGCTCTGCTGAGCTCAGCTCCTCTGGCTCCAAAATGCCTTTTAAAATTACCAGAGAGTGGAGACCCCTGCGAGCACGCTGCCCCTCTGCCCCCTCGTCCCTGGCACCCTCCGGGGCCAGCAGCACCCATGTGCCACCCGGAGCTGGGTGCCATCCGCCCCCCTGATTGCAGAGGCGCCAGCCTGGGCTTGATTAAAACCCAAGTGAAAGCCAGAGCCAGGGCAGAGAGGGGGATTAGATCGCTCCGGGGAATGTTAATGGACTCCAGAGCTTTCTGCCCGGCTGGCGGCTGGGCCGGATCCAGCCCTGCATGGGCAGGCGGCTGCGGGAGCGCGGCTGGACCCGCCAGGGCGGCGGGGACGGACCCGCGGGGCTCGGGGGAGCTTGCCCGGGCCCGGCCGCTGCTCTGGGGAAGGCAGGGCTGGTCTGGTGCCCCGGCTGGGCTCGGCCGGGCTGGCACTGCACGGGCGGGCTGGCACCGCCGGCACCCGCATCCCCATCCCGGCTGCGATGGGACCGGAGCGGTCCGGGCTGGCACCGCCGTGGGGCGGCAGGAGGGGCTGCAGGAGGGGCTGCAGGAGGGGCTGGCACCGCTGGCACCGCCGGCACCCGCATCCCCATCCCGGCTGCGATGGGAGCGGAGAATGCGGGCTGGCACCGCCGTGGGGGCGGCAGGACGGGCTGCAGGAGGGGCTGCAGGAGGGGCTGTCCCCGCTGTCCCCGCTGTCCCCGCTGTCCCCGCTGGCCCCGCTGGCCCCGCTGGCCCCGCTGGCCCCGCTGCGGGAAGGGCCGGCCGGGCGCAGGGGCCGCTCCGGGGGTGCCCGGGCCCCCGACACGGAGCCGCTCCCCAGCCGGCTCCGCTGGATTGCGGGTCTGACGTGGGAAATCGCCTCCCTCCCTCGTTAGCTGTGATTAGCATGTCAAGTGCTTGAAGTTGGTGGGTATAAAGGATGCGAGCGAAGAATAATGGCTTCAATTTTCTTCGCGGCACAGCCATTAATTTGAAGGAGAAGGGGGTGTCCAAAGCTGCCGGCAGCTCCAGCCCTGCGGGGCGAGGGCGGCTCGGCTGCTGCCCTGCCTGGCGAGGGGGACACGGCCCGGGGGACCCCGGCACCGGCACCGGCATCCCGTGTGCTCCCCATGCCAGGACTGGGGCACACGAGTGTGCAACACGTGTGTATCCATCCGTGTGCTCCCCGTGCCAGGATTGGGGCACACCAGTGTGCAACACGTGTGCATCCACCCCGCGCTCACCATCCCGAGCCCGCACAGCCCCGCGAATGGGGAATTGCCCCCGCTCCGGCTCCAGGGGATGGGCAGGGGGAAGGCAGGGGCAGGGGGCAAATTCCGGCCGTGTTTCCAAGGGATGGTGGCCCTGGAAATGGAGGCAGAGCCGCCTTTGCCAGGTGGGAGCTGGATCCTGGCACAGCCCTCTGAGCCTCCCCACATCCTTCTCCCCATGGATGCAGCGCTCTGGCTCCGTGCTGGCCCAGCCCTGGGCCCCTCTGAGTGCAGCATCCCCGATCCCACATCCCCGATCCCACGGCCCTGCACCATCCCCGATCCCCGGCCCTGCAGCATCCCTGTCTCCGTGCTGCAGCATCCTGAGAGGCCAGAGCCCTCCTCCCAGCAGAGCTGCTTAATTAAAACCATCATTTCCATCCCGAGGCACGGCCAGGCACCAGGGCCCGGCTCACCCCACATCCCTGCGCACCGCGTGGCCGTGCCGGGCTCACCCTGGGTGCTCTCAAACGCAGCTCCCAGAAACCTTCAAAAATCCATGCTAAACAAATTAAGAAATAGCGAAACAATAATTTCCCCCCAAATTTTGAGCTTTTTCCTCCTTTCCCCCAGCAAACCCAGGCAGTGCTGGGCTGTGCTGATCAATCCCCAACAATCAGCCCCATCACGAGGTTTTTCAGGCTCCAGAGTGGCTCATGCTGCTTGAGAGATATAATTGAGGCTTTAAAAAAAGACAAAAAATAATAAAATAAGTGAAATCCAGCTGTGGTCCAAGCAGCCAGTTGTACCCAGCGAGGCTCTGGTGTGCCAGGTGATGCTTCCTGGTGGGATTTACCCACTGGGGGGAATTTCATCACCTTTCAGGGCTGCTTGTGAGGGAAAATGGGGCGGGAGAGAGCAAATTTGATGCTGGTGGGAAGCATCATATTGGAGGCAAGCTGGGAAGGAAGGGTCATGGGACCAGGCAGGAGGGGCCACGGAGGGGCCAGAGGGGGGTTCAGCACCTTGGCATGGGCGCTGGACGCAGGCACGGCACCACGGGTGGCTGGAGCCCCCAGGCTGCTCCCGTGCCTCAGTTTCCCCCGTTGTGTCACAGCCAGGGGACATTGGTGCCCACCAGGCTGGAAGCACAACACGGGGGTGCCCCCGGTGGGTCCCGCTCCCCCCAGCCCTGTCCTCTGTGTGAGCACGGTGGGAAGGAGGGGCTGCAGCCCTCAGCCCACCCTCCCCAGCACCCCCAGCACAGAGGGGTCCCTGGGCATCCGCCCAGCACAGAGGGGTCCCTGGGCATCCGCCCAGCCCCTCAGCATCACCCCAGCCCTTCAGCATCCCCCCCCTCAGCATCCCCGCGGGCTGGGGGGCGCTGCAGGCCCGACCCCCCGCTCCCCCATCCATCAGAATGCGCCGCGTGTTCCTCTCCATAGCAACCCCTGATCCCGGCCCCACAGGGCTCCTCCACAGCCCCGACCTGCCTGGCACCGCTCACCTGTCCCCTCCTACCTGGGCACTGCTCACCTGCCTGGCACCGTTCACCTGTCCCCTCCTACCTGGGCACTGCTCACCTGCCTGGCACCGCTCACCTGTCCCCTCCTACCTGGGCACTGCTCACCTGCCTGGCACCGCTCACCTGTCCCCCCCAGAGCTCCTCGGCAGCCCTGACCCCGCTGGCACCGCTCACCTCCTTAACCTGGGCACTGCCCACCTGTCGCACTGTGTCACTGCTCAGCTCCCACCCTGGCACCGCTCCTCTCTCCTGGCACCGCTCACCGGTCCTAGCATGGCACTGCTCACCTCCCCAGCCTGGCACTGCTCACCTGTCCCACCGTGTCGCTGCTCCCCTCTCCCACCCTGGCCCCTCTCCCCTCTCCCCCCCACAGGTAGCTGTGCCCCCCAACCCCGGACCCCCCTCTCCTCTCCCAGAAGCTGCTGCCTTCGCCTTCCCAGGCTGGAGGCTGGTGCATTTCTGAATTTCATTTGTTCTGTCCTTATTTTCCTCCTCTCTCTGCTCCTTTCTGGCGGTGACGCTTCTCCAATCCATCTCCTGTGCCCCTTCCCCCGGCGGTGCCAGGTGGGCAAAGCCCCTCCTGCCTGCAGAGCCCCCCGTGTGTCCCCACAGTGCCACCGGGCCCTGGCACTGTCCCCTGCGCCCTCGGGTGGCACCGCGTCCCTGTTTGTGCCAAAATTCAGCTTTTTTGGTGCAATTCCGCCCCCGAAATCCAGGGAGGGTCAGGGTCCCTCCAACACCCGCCCCCGGCACAGCCAGGCCGTGCTCCCCCAAAAAAGAGAAGCAAGAAAGCAGCGGGCATCGCTCAATATATAGGTTTCTTTTTAATATAAAAAAAGTGCCTATTAAAAATTCCTTCCTAAATAACACAAAAAGACCGTTTGAGGGGCAAAGCGGGGGCCGGGGGCTCACGGGGCCCCTCTGGCCAGGGCAGCACAAGCACTGCACAGGGCAGCTGGGGGGGCGGGGGAAGGAGGGGGCATTTCGACCAAATTTGGGTAGTTCTCCCTTTTATTTTTTTTCCTTTTTTGTGAATTTTGCCTTTTTTATCCATTTCAGGATGGTTTTCTTCTCTTTGTGTGTGTGTGTGTGTGTGTGTGTGTTTTCTCTTTTTTTGCACAACCCACAAAGCTGCACAGAGATTGCCAAACCCGTGAGGAGGGGGGGACACACAGGGAATTTGTGGGAGGAGAGGACCCCAAAGCCCACCTGGCACCCACACACGCACCCACACCCTGAGCTCGTCACCGCCACCGCCCCGGGGACCCTGGGAAAGGGACCCCCTTCACCCCAGCCCCCCATTCCCCCTCCCCACCAAGAGGGTCTGTGATTGATTTAGTCCTTATTTTTTTTTTCCTTTTTTTTTTAAAGTTTTTTTTTCTTCTCTTTTTTTTTTTTTTTTTGAAACTCCTTTTTGTTTTTATACAAATTTGGATCTTTGGGTGTGTACTGCCAAAAAAAAAAAAAAAAACAACCAAAAAACCCAACAAAAAAAAATCAAAAACCCGCCTTCGTTCTTCAGAATAATAATAAAAATAAAACTCAAATCATCATTGAATCATTAAAAAAAAGGCAACGGAAACCCAAGGAACCCATGCGGAAGTTGCACACCACAAAACCACAGCAGATGTACAGAATGCAATATACAAGACACGATTTATAATAAAACATTATATACAATAAATAGGTTATTGTCACTTTTTTCTTTTTTTTCTTTTTTTTTTTTTTTTTTGTTGCTCGATCTGTAAATAAATTTTTTCTCAGTGCATACTGGGGGGTTTTGCTCTTTTCTGCTGCATATTCACCTCTTGGATGCTTTAGGCCAGTTCTCCATCATTTTTGGATTCTCCCTCCGGTGCATGATTCTCTCTATCTCTTTTTTTTTTTTTTTGTGATTTTTCAGCTTTTTAATTTTTTTTTTTTTATCCTTAAACATTTTTTTTAACTTCTTTTCTTCAAAAGTATTTACAATTGCTGGTTTTGTGCAGAAAATGAAAATTAATCAAATAAAAAATAAAACTTAAAGAGTCCCTCTGCTGCTTCTGGCTGGGAGGAGAGAGAGAACGCGGCGCCGGCGCCACGGCCGAGGCGGGGCCGGGGGCGAAGCGGGGGCGGCGGGCGGGGTCCCCTCCGGAGGCGCCCCCTCCTCTCCATCTCCTTCCATCTCCTCTGCTCCGCTCCGGCGGCCGCGGCGGGCGGGGGGCGCAGCGCTGGCGGTGCTGGGGCTGGGGGCAGAGGGAAAGAGGGGTGAGGGTCCCACCCTGGGCTGCCTGCCCGCCCCCGGCCCCCCAGCACCTGCGGAGCGGAGGCCTGGCACCCCCAAACCCGGGGAATGGGTGCTGTGCCCCCATACGGCACCCCCAAACCCGGGGGACGGGTCCTGCTCCTCAAATCTGGCATCACTCACATGCCCGGGGACCGGTACCCCAAATCTGGCACCCACACACCCGGGGACTGGGGACGTGCCTACCTCCTTCATCTGGCACCCCAACACCCAGGGGATCTGGGGGTCCCATTCACCCCGATGTGGCACCCATGTCCCAGGGGATCGGTGTCCTTCCCATCCAGCCCTGCACTCTGGATTCCTGCTCATTCTTGTCTGGCACCCACGTACCCAGGGTTCTCGGGTCCTGCCGGCCCATGTGGCACCCGAACAGGGCTCTGGGGCACCCCACACCCCTCACCCTGGCTCTTGCACCCCACAGACACCCCCAGGCACCGCAGCCCGCAGGGTCCCCGGTTTGGTGCTTGGTGGGACAACACCCAAGGGCTCACAGCCCAGCAGGGCCGGGGGCACCCTGTGGGTGGGTGCAGGTGGGTCAGGGAGCCCAGCGGGGCACAGAGCACGCGGCAGAGCCTGGCCGGGGGGCACAGCTGGCACAGCCTGGCCGGGGGGCACAGCTGGCACAGCTGGCACAGCCTGGCTAGGGGCACGGCTGGCACTCACCTGGTGACGGTGGCGTCTCCGAGCCCCGCTGGCGACGCTGCCAGAGCTGGAGGGCTCAGCGCTTCAGCAGCACCCATCGCTGTCCGTCCGGCGGGAGCAGCCCCAGGCGGCAGCGGGCGGGGAGGGACCAGAACAGAAAAGAATCCCCAAACAGCCTCCCCGGGGCGGCCGAGGGGCCCCGGCCGGGCTGCGGGCAGGGGGCACCCAGCGCTGGCCCCCAGAGCCCCCCTGCCCTCCCTGCCTGCGCCGGGCCTGCGCTCTGTCCGTCCATCCGTCCGATTGTCCTGCTGCGGGGCGGGGGGGCGGCAGTTCGGGAAGCAGAGCCGGAGCTTGGCAGGCGGAGCGGGTTTGAGTGCGGAGGGGGAAAAACGGGGGGTTTCTCTCTTCATCCATTATTATTAATTTTTTCCTTTTGTTTCGCTTATTTTTCATCTTTTTTATCTTTTTTTTCTCCTTTTTTTTTCCTTTTTTCTCCTTTTTTCTTTCTTTTTTTTTTCCTTTTTTTTTTTTTTTTTTTAAGAAAACAAACAAACGGTTCCAATCCCAGTTAAATACAGAACTTGAAAAGTGTTCCAGAAAAAAGTGCTGGCTAAATTACCTCTGAAAGAGAAACACAACATGGAGAGAGAGGGGGACACGATGAGAAGGGCCCTGAGGGTCCCCTGTGTCCCCTCCTGCCACCCTCGCTCCCAGGTTCTCCCCCACCTACCCTGTAACAAAACCTCGTTGTCCCGTTGGCACGTCAGCAGACACTACAATGAGGTGACCGTAAAAGTGTCCTCAGGGTGCTGTTGCTCTACCATGGGTCCCAAAAACCCGCTCTTCTGGCTGGGGGCCATGACGGGGTGCCCTTGGGGTGCAAAACTGGGGTACCTGTAGTTGTCCTGCAGCTGCAACATTGAGTCTCTCGGTACAGGGGAGATGTTCAAGTCATTGATCAAGGGACAAGCGTAGGGTCCCCGGTGGTGGGCCCGGGACATCTCCAAGGGCTCCTTCTCGCCCTTGGAGGGGTGGGTGCTGCTCGGGCTGCCCAAGTGGGGGTTCAGACACGGGGGGTCCGTCCTGCCCATGAAGTCCACCAGCATGCCGGCCCCCGCTTTGCTGTCGTAGGAAGGGCTGCGGGTGCTAGCGTTGGGGGAATACCAGTACGGGGGGTTTTTGCAGCTGGGGGAGTCATAGTGCGCTTGAGGCATGGGGAGGTCGCGGCAGGCCAGGTGCGGGGCGTGGGGCAGGGCCCCCCCCTGCATGCTGTGTTTGAGCGAGTCGCAGGCGGGCAGCTTCCGCATGCTGCCTGCCCGCAGGTCCTCCTTGAAGGCCAGGGTCGGGGAGCAGTTGGGCGAGAAGGCTTTCTGCAAACCGGCCTCGAACACAGTCTGCTGGCCGGGGGCCGCCAGCTGGTGCGGGAGGGCGGGGAAGTGCTTGCTCTCCAAATCCGGCTGCCCCAACCCGGGGGAGTCGCTCTGGAACCCCTGCACAAAGGTCCCATCCGAGGGGGTGGAGGGGTTCATGGAGTAGGGGCCGCTGTAGTCGCAGGGGTCCCGCTCGCCCACCCCGAAGCCCCGGGACTGCGAGGGCAGGGGGGACATGCTGCTGTCCCCGCTGTAGTAGTCCAAGCCCAGGTCCGTGCTGTCCTGGAACAGGGGGTTCACCGCCTGCGACTTGGTGGGGAACTTGGCTTTGCCCGTCCCCCTCTCCTTCTTGGAGGCACAGGCCCCTCGGGAGCCCCGGGGCTGCCGGGGTCCCGTGTTCCTCTTGGAGGGGTACACGGAGGAAGATGAGGAAGAGGAGGAGAAACTCAGGTGAGAGGTGTCGAACATATCCACCTTCTTCCGTCGGCCTCGACCGGGCTTGGAGTTGCTCTGGAAGAGGACGCTCTGGTTCCAGTTGTAGCCAGGGGCGGAGGATGCCTCATTCCAGTCCATCATCAGCTTCTCCAGGCTGGAGAGGCTCGACTGGCCCTCGCTGGAGGACGCCTCGCTGTTGGCACGCCGGTAACCAGCCGGCTGGTTGAACTGGGTACTGTCAGAGGAGGACTCCGAGAAGGTCTCGGAGACCGTCTGCTGCTTGGCTTTCTGCGGGGTGTAGTTGGAGATGTCCAGGATGACGTTGGGTTCATTGAGGTGGCACTCGAAGCCCGGGTTGTAGAGCTGGCTGAAGGCTTCTGAGCTCCAGTCCAACCCTCCGTAGCCCTGCCGGAAGGCCCACGGCGCGGAGCTGGGGAACTGCCGGCAGTTTTCAGGGGAGGCCTGGAAGGACGCTGACCCCTTGGGCACCATGTAGCCGCCGGGCGAGACAGTGCTGGCGCGGCTGTCGCAGCGCAGGGGCGTGTGCGCGGCGCTGGAGAACTGCCCCCCCTGCTCGGCGCTGTTGAAGAAGGCGGCTTTTCCCAGCGGCAAACTGGGACCAGCCGTCGGCGGCGCGTAGCCGGCACTGTGGGCACTGCTGGGCGAGGACGGGAGGCTGCTGCCGCTGCCGTAGGCGAAGCTGCAGTCCTTGCTGTTGGGGCAGTCCTGTGCTGATGGGTACTGCTTTCCTGGCGGGAACACGCTGGCGGGTGCCACGCTCTGCCCGGCGCTGCCGTAGCTGCCGTACGGGGAGTAGCCGGGGGTGCCACTGGCTGCTGGATGAGCCGTGGGCGACCGGGACACGGCCGATGGCGGGGCCAGTTTGGGGAAGGACTCGGTGCCCCGGCACTCGGAGGAGCCTTGGGTCACCCCGTAGGCGCTGGAGGCGCGGCCGGGCGGGAACGCCGGCCGGCCCTGCATGGCCGCGTGGAAGGCCTCGGCGCCGGGGCTGGCCGCCGGCACTTTGCCGCCGCGGGCGGCGTAGGCGGCCATGCCCCGCTGGCCGGGCAGCGCGGCCGGGGGCGCCGAGTAGGCGGCCGCCGATTTGCGGGACTCGGAGCGGGACGCGGAGAGGGCGAAGTCCAGCAGGTCGGAGGAATCATCGGAGTCCAGCAAGGAGCGAAAGTAGCCGGTGAAGAGGCTGTGCCGCTCCGGGCCGGCCTCTGTCTGCGAGGACGGTGCGCTGCCAGCATAGAAACCAGCGCGGCCGGAGGAGCCCGACTCCAGCCCCGCAGCGTGGAAGGGCCTTGCCTCGGCCCCTTGGTAGCCACCGTTGCGCCCGGGCTGGCCGCCGGGGTGGCCGTGGTGGGGGGCCCAGGGGCTGCCCTTCTCGCCCCCGCCCCACTCTGCGGCCGGGCCGTCCCCGAAGCTCTGCCCGGAGTTGGGCTCGGGGAACAGGGCCCCGTTCTTGCGCGCCCGTCGCTTCCGCTTGGGCTTGCCCACGGGGTCGGGCTCCAGCCGGCCGCGCTTGCGGGGGTGCACGGGGTCAGCGTGGAGGGCCGTGGGCGCTTTCTTCTTCTTCCCGATGCCCTCGAAGAAGTCGCTGAAGGAGCAGCGTGCGGCGCGGGCGGCGTGGCCGCCCCCGCGCCCACCGAAGCCCCCGGCCTTGCCGCCGCGCCGGCGGAAGCCCTGGACACGGTGCAGGAAGTGGGAGATGCTCTGGGTGTCGGGCGCTTGGTGGATGGACTCGGGCTCGCTGGGGGTCCAGCAGCGGGGCGGCGAGCAGCGCCCCGAGCACTGGCTCTGTCGGTTCAGGAAGGCCAGCTTGGCCAACACGTCCGAGTAGTCGGCCTTGCTGTCATTGGTGTCCGCGATGTAGGAGGGCTGGGGCGAGGCCAGCTTCTGCTTCCTCCTCCTCCTCTTCTTCACTTCTGGGGTGGGCTCCTTGGGCTTGGCTTGGCCCAGCAGCAGGTTTTTGGGAGGCCGGCCCCGCTTGCGCTTCAGGATGATAGGCATCTCGCCAGGGGGGAACACCACGACCACGTTGCGCCCATTGTTCTTCATCTTGAGCAGCGGCGTGGGCTCCATGGAGCTGCTGGTTGCCAGCTCCTTCCCCTCCAGGTTCAGGTTGCTGCTGAGCGATGACACCTTGTAGGTTGTCTTGTTCCTCCTCCCCAGGGACACGGGGATCTTGGCCATCTTCACCACCATCTTCCTCACCCCCCGGCACTTGCTCTTCTTCCCTGCCGCGGGGGCTTTGGGCATCTCGTTGGGGTCCAGCGTGGTGGGAGGCGGTGGCGGCGGGGGGCTCAGCACCGGCGTGTCAGGCTCAGGCTCCTCGGGCCCGGGGGGCAGCTCGGCGGGCAGGGTGAGGGGGGACAGCACGTGGCTCTCGGGGGCGATGTCCACCCGGCGCCCTCGGCCCGCCCTCCTCCGGCGGCACAGCATCTTTGGCTTATCGGTCCGGCGCAGGGCGTACTTGCGGTGGTCCTCGCCGCACCGCCCGGCCCCCCGGCCCCCGCAGGGACCCCGCTTCACCATGGTGCTCGGGGGACACCCCCCGAGCCGGGGCTGCAGCCCGTGGGGCCGCAGAGGGTCCCCGGCGCCCGGCTGCGCCTCCAGCAGCTCCGAGACGGTGCCCAGCGGCTGCGGCTCCAGCAGCGAGGGCTCGGTGGGCAGCAGCGGGGGCTCCAGCGCTCCGGGCAGCGGCTCCAGGGTCTGCAGCCCCAGAGGCTCCGCCAGTGGCTCCAGCGACTGCAGCTCCAGCGACTCGGACAGAGGCTCCAGCGACTGCAGCTCCAGCGACTCGGAGAGCGGCTCCAGCGACTGCAGCCCCAACGGCTCCAGGTTTTGCAGCTCCAGCGACTCTGGCAGCGGCTCCAGGCTCTGCGAATCAAGCAGCTGGGGCTGTGACTCCAGGGACTGGGAATCCAACAGCCGGGATTGGGAGTCCAGCTCTTGGGCTGGCAGCAACTGGGGCTGCGGCTCCATCGCCTGCGACTCCAGCAGCTGCGTCCCCGGGCAAGCCAGGGAAGCCAGCTCGTTCAGGATGTCCGCCTCGGCCAGTTCCGAGTAATCGCTGGCGTCGGGCTGGGAGCAGCCGGCTTCGTCCGCCGGGGCTTTGGAGACGTCGCCCACACCCACAGCGTGTCCTGGGGGCTGCGGGGCGCTCCCCCCGCCTCCCTCGGGCTCTCCGTCACGGGCCGGGGGCCGGGGGTGCCGCGACGGGTCGGATTTGAGGAGCACCCCCCGCTCCTCGGGGCTGCGGATGCTGTTGGCCAGGGAGGGCGAGGAGAAGAAGCTGTACTGCAGGTCCCGGTCAGCGGGCAGGAGGCGGCTGTCCTCGTGGGCCCCGCCGCCGCCACGGAGGCTGCCGCAGTCCAGGTGCACCCCGCTGTTCTTGAGGTCCTCAGAGAGGCGGTTGAGGTCCTTCATGATGTCGATGAGCTGCACCACAGGGTGGAGGTTGATGTGCCCGTTGCCGCACTTGCTGCGGAGCAAGGCGAGGATGCCGTCTACGTTGCAGCGGCCCGAGGCCAGCGTCGCGTTGGGGAAGGTTTTGGGCGCCCGGTCGCGGGCAGAGGCCTCCTCTGCGCTGCCCCCCAGGATCCGGGGCTCCCCGGCGCAGCCCAGCAGCTCCTCGGCCGCCTTGGTGCCCCCGTGGACGCTCTGGCAGCGGTCGGCCGGGTCGCCGTGCAGCAGCGAGCCTGGCTGGTGCTCCCGGCCGAGCGCGGGGCACGAGCCCTCAGGGAAGCTGAGCACGCTGCAGGACAGCGCCTTCTCGGCCGGGCAGGCGGGCGGCCGCTGCACCGGGTGTCCCGGCGGGTAGAACTTGGGCTCTCGGACGTAGTCGGGCGAGCCGCGCACAACGCTGGTCGTTACCACTGGGCCCGGGGGCTTCACGCGCATCCTGACCTCCTCCTCCCCCGCGTGCCGCTTGGCCGAGCAGTTGCTGACATGGGGGTCGGGGAAGGTGACACCAGGACCTACGGGCGGCAGAGAGGGGCACAGTGAGGCTCCGCAGGCGCTGCCGGCCACGAACAGCCAGCAGAGCCTCACTCCAACCCCCTGTTCCCAGGGATGAGGTGCCCACAGCCATCCCCCAGCTCCCTCCGCCCTGTCAGCAGCCATGACCCGACTGGCACCGCGGGAATGTGACAGCCCTGCTCACAGCTGGGAAAACAGGGCCCTGGGGGACCTGTGTGCCTTCCCCAGCTCAGGAGCAGGGGGCTGGATGTCCTCCCCACAGCAGGAACTCCGGCACACTCCCGCTCCCACATGAAGAGGGGTGAGGGTCTGGGTTTTCCCACCCCAGGGGCAGAGTTTGGGAGTCTGAGGGGAGAGCTGGGGCTGGAACTTACCCTCGGCTTTGCTGCTGCTCCTGCTGTTGCACTTGAGCTCTCTGCAAAGGAAGGGGTGTGCAGGGTCAGCCCCACGCGGGAGGGGCTCACTTAAGCGCCCCCCACCCCTGTGCCAGTCCCTGCACGGGCCGAACCAGGGGCTGATCCCCCCGAGCTGCCACGGCCCATCATCGGGGCACGGGCAAACAAGGGAGGCTGCCTCTCCTCTGGGGGACAGAGGGGCCGGGTTTGCGCCCCTCTCCCGCGCCCAGCAGCCCCTCCGTGGGGCGGGGGTCCTTCGGTGGCGCTGCCACTAGGTGTCCCCGGCGAGCCGCGCTCCGGACACGCGGGGGGGCTTCCCCCGAGGTTCGCTCAGCACCTCCCACCCCGCATCCCCCCGGCTCCCACTCCCCCCGAGCGCAGCTGCAGCCCCCGCCCGCGGGGACACTGCCCGGGGCCGCCCTCCCCTCGCCGGGACGCCCCTCGGTGGCGCCTGCCTCAGTTTCCCCTCTTGGGAAGGGGGTACAGCGAGGGTTGTGCTGGGGTGGCTCGGGCACTCACGGGTGGGTGCCGGACACCACGTGCTCACTGCACAGGGGCTGCAGCCCCTCTGTTCACCCCAGAATCCCAAGCCGGGAGGCTGTGCAGAGCCGGGGATCCCCCCTCACCCAGGTAGGGATGGACAGAACATGGGCAGCAAGATGGGCCACCGACCCCCCTGGTGCCGCACCCCATGTGTGGGGTGAGCCCCCAGGTACCTGTTCCGGGGGTGTTTGCAGTGCAGGTTCACTCGGAAGCTCCTGCTGTCGCCGTCGCTGCCGGGCTGGCGGGGGCCGGAGCCCTGGGCACACGCGAACCACTCGGCTGGCGGGCTGGCACCGTTCTCCAGTGCGAGGGGCTGGCAGGCGACCGAGCTCCCATCTGCGCGAGAGAGACCCCGCACATCAGCCCAGCCGCCCCCTGCCCCGGGAGCGCCCCTCGCCCCGGCTGCCCTGGGTGGTGCCCAGGGGCCGGGCACACCGCGCGCCGCCCGTTGACGCCTCCCCTCGAGCCACGGCCCACGGGGACACCCACGGGATTGTGCCCTTGGCCCCATCACGGGATGCCCAGGGTGGCGTTTTGGGGCAGGACAACCCTTTCCTCCCCACTGTGTCCCTGCCTCGAGCAGGGGGCTGCCCATATGAGATACCCACAGCATCTCCCACCAGGCTGTGGGCACACGCGCGCTCATCGCCGTGGATGTGCACATTTGCACAGGCGTGTGCAGAACGCTCTGCCCCCCCGCTCTCCTGCAGAGGCACCCCCAGCCGCTGCCAGCGCGGCACAGGGGGGCACGGTGGAGCCCCCGAGCCCCTCGCAAGCCCCCCGTGCCAGCACGTCCGCCTGCTTTCCCTCCCCAGCGCCGCGTGTGAATCCCTGCCGGTTGGCTCCCTCCTCCAGCACACACCCGCAGACACACACACGCAGCCGCTCGGCGTGATCCAGGCTCTTCCCGGTGTCTGGATTAGCGTGACAACTTATCAACAAGGCAGGGAAAGAGAATTCAAACCTGTCAGTCCATCCGCATCCCCCCCTTTCCCCGTCTCCCCGCCAGCCTTTGGGCGCAGCGCTGGCACCGCGGAGCTGCGGGCACCTCGGTGTAAAGTTACACCGAGGGCTATGTGGAGCAGGAAAATATGTGCTAGAAAGACCGGTCTCGTCTCTGCTGAGGCTGCTGGTGTGCCCAGGGAGCTGTCGGAGGGGAGGCGGCAGGAAGGAAACAAACGGGAGGCTTTCCAGAGCAGCCGCCGGGAGCTGGTCCCCGCTGCGCAGGCAGCGCGGCTCCAGGGCAGCTTCGGGGTGTCGGGGGTGTTCGGGGGTGCCGGGGGTGTCGGGATGCCCCCCCCCCCGGCTCTGCGCCGCCGTCCCCCGCTGTGTCCGCACAGAGCTGCGGCCGCTTCAGCAAACGCTGCGGGACGCCCGAGGGTCCCCCCCGGGTGTGGGGGTCTCTGGACACGGCATCGCCCGCGCTCGCACGGTCCCCGCTGCCCACGTTCATCCCCGGTGTGCAGCGGATGCCGCAGGCTCGGGTCGCGGCCCTGACCCCACAGCCCCGGTGTCCGGTCCGGCTCCGGTCCCGCCGGGGCCACACGTGTCCCGTGACACGCAGGGGACGCTCCGTGCGCCGGGACCCCGCCCCATGCAAAGCGCCCCCATCGCGGGGACCACCTGCACCCCCCGAGCCCCCACCCACCCGCCCAGCGCGGGGCGCGGCGCAGGTGGGAGCGGCGTGGGGAGGGGGCTCCGCGGCGTCCGGGGGGGCGCACCGGGATGCTCGCCGCGCCGCCGCGCTCACTTTCACCTCCCCGCTCAGCCCCAGGCAGCCGCCACATGTTTCCCATTAGGCTCTCCGGACCTCGCCATTCCTGGCTTCCTCGCCAGGGGTAGGGCCTTTTTCCTTATTTTTTTATTTCCCCCTTTTTTTTTTTTTTAATTTCTTTTAATTTTTTTTTTCTCCTCCCTGGTTACAAAACACCAGCCGAGACCACACAAGCGAGGAGGGACGGAGGGAGAAGGGGAGATAGAGATGGGCGCCGCGGGCGGGGGGAGCCGGCCAGACCGGGCGCTGCGGCGGGGCGGGGGGGGGTGAGGATGAAGAGCGGGGGGATGAAGCGGGCGAGATTGCAGTCACCTCCGCTTCCCACCTCCTGACCCCGCAGCCCTGCAAAGATAACAGCCCCCGAAGACTGCTGACTCGCCTCGCAGAAATCCAATATCCTCGCCTGGTGAACTAATCGACTACCTGGGCTCCCACCTCCCCTGCCCGGGCTTAATCCTGCTGCTGCAAAGCTTTAATTAGTTTAACGGTTTCAGGCTTGACGGAGGTTGGCGGCGAGAGGAATCGGAATCATGGAATGGTTTGGGTTGGAAGGGACCTTAAAGCTCATCGCCTTCCAGCCGCCCGCCAGGGCAGGGACACCTTCCACCGGAGCAGGCTGCTCCGAGCCGGCAGGATGTCCTCCCACCGCCCCCGCCCCACCCACACCGGGCTCCCCTTTGCTGGAAAGGTGCCGTGGGGTGGCAGCAGAGCGTGCAGGGGGCTGCGGGCGCCCCGAGCCCCCCTGAGCCCCCCGAGGCCGCTGGCACCCAGCCCCGGCCCGCAGCGCTGGCACAGGGCGGGCACGGAGGGAGCGCCTTGGCACCGGCGCGGCGGCGGGGGGATGGAGGGACGGCCCCGCAGGACACGGACGCGGTTCGGTGCCCGGCTCCGAGGCCACCCAGACGTCAGGGTGGGGCCGGAGATGCCACCGGGAGCCAGGCAGGCGGCAGGGACACAGCCGCCACACAGATGGGGACACGCCGGCCCGCCGCCTCCCGCCCCCCGGGCGCCGTGCCCGCGGCCGCAGCGCTGGGGACGGGGCGTCCTCCCCGCCGCCCCCGAGCCTCGGGGCTCTCCGGGCGCCGCCACGCTTTGGGGGGGCCTCAAGTACCCCCGCACGGGCGTGGGGCCGTGTCCGGTCCCGCTGTCACCCGTGTCCGCGGGCACAGCTGGCATTCCCCCGCAGGGGTGGGGTACCTGCCCCCAGAGCGGCACGGGGGTGTCCCACTCGTGTGGCACGCGGGGACGCCGTGGCGGTGCCTGTCCCTCGCACGCTCACACTCACACACCGTGGTCACGCTCACACACCAGGGTGGCTTTCCTCCCCATCCACGGGGGTGCAGCTCCCCCGCACACCAACCCCCCCACCCCGGGGCACTGGGGAGCCTGTCCCCTCCCCGCCCCGTCCCTCGCACCCCCCGGGCCCCTCCCCGGCCCCCCAGCCCCCGCCCCAGCAGCTCCCCCGGCCCGTCCTGCGCTGCTGACACCAATGGAAAATCCCCTCCAGTGACAGCTTCCTGGCAGGGCGCGCCGAGGGTTTCCGTGTTCCCCGCCAGCCCCACGGCCACCGCCTCCCCGCGCCGCGCGGGGGGTCCCTCGGCTTCCCCCCCTGCGCGCCGACCCTCGCATCCCCCCCAGTTCAGCATTGCGGACCCCAGAGCACGCGGGCCCTGCTCCCTCCTCCTCCTCTCTCCCTCGTCCCTGCCCTCCTCTCCAGTGGGGCACCCATCGGTGCCAGGGGTGCTCGGGGTCCTCTCCGGGTACCGCTGGCAGCTCCCAGAGCCCCCACCCACCCATGGGACCCACCGCCCACCCTGGGTTGGGAGCAGGGCAGGACCGGGGGTTCGGAAGGGTGGGCACAGATGGGTGCTGGGGCACACGGCGCCTGCAGGCAGCCCTGACCCTCCCTTCAGCTGTCACCCCGCGGCCGGAGCCCCGCTGTCACATCCCCCCTGCCGTCACCACGTCCTCCCGCTGCCCTGACTCCTCTGCCATGCTCTTAATTAGGAGATGGAGCAGATGGCGCCTGGGTTTCATCTTAGGTAACGGGTCCAGACGAGCTGCTTGGCCGCCAGTTCCCTTTGTGGGGCTGGAAAGGCTTTTTTGGGGTGCCCCCTGAGCAGGGAGCTGCTGAGGGGCCCTGTGCCTCCAACGCACCGCGGGGAGGCTGCAGGGACCCCAGTGCCAGAGGGGATGGGCTGGCATGGGGGCACACATCCCTGGCTTCTGCCCTCACATCATCCCAGGGTGCGACACCCCCAGGGCAGGCTCAGACACCGGCACTGGGAGGAGGGTCCAGGGCTATGAGCAACGGGTGCCAAAGGTCTTGACATCTCCTCATAACCCAGAGCTGCAGGAAGGGAGCTGGGGGGTTCATTTCCCTGCAATCGCCGTGGCCCTGGCTACACGACCCCAGGGACACCCCCATGCTGCTGGCGACGGTGCTGAGTCAGGGACATGGCCCTTCTGGCGCTGGGTGTGCCATTGGGGTCTCCTGGAGCCCACCCACCCTTGGCTGGTGGCATCCCCAGGCCTGGGGCTCCTGGAGCTGTGGCACCCTGGATGGGCTCCACCCTCAGAATGTGGCACGGTGCCCTTGAGGTGGGCAGGCCTGGCCAGGCTCCTGTTCCTGCTGCTGCAAGAAACCATCTCCCTGCAAGGACCTTCTCCTTCAGGAGAAACCATCTCCCTGCAAGGACCATTTCTCCTGCAATGGCCATTTCCCCAGGAGCCATCTGCCCTGCAAGGACTCTCCCCTGCAGGAACCACGTGGCCTTCAAGCACCATCTTCCCCACAAGGACCATCCCTCCTGCCACAACCCCCTCCCCTGCAGCGATCATCTCCCCCACGAGAAATTGTGTCCCCTGCAAGGACCATCTCCCCCTAATGACCATTCCCCTCCAAGGACTGTAACCCCTCAAGGACCATCTCCCTGTAATGCCCATCTCCCCACAATAAACCATCTCCCCACAACAGCCAACCCCCCTCCAGCGACCACCTCTCCCAGCAATCATCCATCCCATCGGTCAGGAGCCCGTTCCGCGGGGCAAGGACCCCTCATCGCTCCCCAAAGGTGGGTGCCCGCTGCCCGCGGGTGCCGGGGGCGCTCCGGTGACCCCCGTGCCCCCGCCCAGCGTGGCTGCAGCCCCGGCTCCCCGGGCGGCGGAGGGGTCTGAGCGCCCTGCCCGGGGGGCCGGGGGGGCTCGGGAGCGCTGACAGATGGACGGCAGCGCTGGTGGCACCTCGGCCGGCTGGAGCCCAGCGCCGCAGCTCGGAGCTAGCAGGGAGCGGGCTAAATTTAGCTCTTCCCTCGGTGCCAGCTTTGTTCCCCCGCCCCGCGGAGCCGGAGCGGGAGCCGAGCGGCCCCGGGCCCCCCGCTCTGCCCTCTCCGTGCCCGCGGGAGGGTTCGGGGCGCACCGGCGCCGCTCCCTCGGGGTGCGGGCTCGGGCACCGGGCGCTCCGGCCGGGCCTGCCCGCGGTTCCGGCGCGCCCGCCGTGCCCCGGGGGCCGTGCCCGGGCGGGGAGCGCACCCCGGGGCCCCGCAGCGCGCTGGCAGCCCCG